CAGACCAGATCAGTAAGATTCAGAGCATATCAGAAAGTTTCAGATCAGATAAAAAAGATTCAGATATAAACTTAAAAAAATCAGATCAGAAACATTCAGATCAGGTGAAGAGAAGAAATTCTAATTAAGGAATGATATGGCTTCATTTCAGAATACACCTAGTAATAAGAAGGTACGAGGTTTGAATCATGAGAGTGGTTTAAGCAATTTGTAACAACAAGTCAATGTGGAATATCGGGTAGCGTTGATGTTGCTCTACAAATGGTACAAGGTTCGAATCTTGGGAGTAACATTTTGCTTCTTGTTCTGGGTTTTAACGGGTTCTGCAGGTTTGTGAGGTCCGGTTTGGCCGGGCTACCGGTTAATTCCGGGTTTGGTTCAAATAGCCCGGTTCTGGGTTGACCCGGCCAATTCGATTCTTTAAAGTTTAAACATAGATTAATTAGATTCTAGTCAGAAATTAACAATAATTTTTAAAATATTAAATTATGAAATTTTTATATTAATATAATTATTAGATCTAGGGAAAACTGTCAAATAGGTCCACGTACTTTTACCAAAAAGTCAATTGAGTCCATGTACTTTTTTTCGAGTCAATTAAGTCCACCAACTATCAAAAAACGATCAAATCGGCTTTTTAATAGGTAATCAACCGGTCACCCGGTTAAAAGCCTACGTGGACGTCCGAGTTGACATTTTTTTTTTACTGTTTTCCAATTTTTTTTATTTTTCCTTTCTGTTGAGGTTTATTCCTTCAACCTTCAGGCCCAACACGTAAGCCCAAAGATTTCGAGTGGAGTGCGTATGAATAACTAGCCCAACAGACAGATGGTAAGGATCAAGAAACAAATAAGTAGCAAGTAAGTGATTAGGTATTATTATCTCTTAATAACTCCCTAATACAATACTTTTTGCTAAAGCTCCGTCGGCCGTTCGTCTTACAAGGCAGTAGAAGTGCTGCGAATAGAATGCTATAGCTAGGGTGCTAAGAATAGAAAGTTGCCAACCCTTTACAATGAAATAAATGCTTCTATTTATACCCGCCAATGGGCAGGTGGCTGTAGTGACGTGGCAGCCTGTGGACCGCTGGTGTCCCAACTACCAAATCTTTAGCATTAAATGCACTTCCCGCCAGAATCTAGGTTTCCCGCCGGATTAGTGGGGACGTTCATCCACCCGGGAAGTGAGTTGGATTGCTCCAAGTGTACCCTTGAGAGATATCGGCTGTTCGTCTCCTGGCCTTGAATGGTATTCATCATGCGGACTGGGTTTCCCCGATGACTACAGGCTTGTCCTGGGGACGTTCGTCGCCATCCCTGGTGGCCCGTGGTTCTGCTCCTTGTCCCTGCATATACGTTCGTCGGGATGAGCTGCTGGGCCTGAGTCCCCCAACACCAGACGTTCGTCCATCCTCAGGGAACATGGGCCCGTGGGTTGGCCTAGTGTTCTAACTGGACGTTCGTCTAGCAAAATGGGTTAGTGGGCCGGACCTCGGCTTGGGCCCTTAACCCAACACAAGTCCCCCACTTCTGATGTTCTGAGCATGCGCAGGACATAAGGAAGTATGAACCTCCCCGAAGTGGACGTCCGTATCTTGGTACTTATGTTTATTGCATCTGGTGGAAACGTACGCTCGTGGTCATGGTGCTTGACAGCCGTTGACGGTTCAGGAAACGAGGTGACGGCTGATGTTGCGGCGGCGCATTTTCCCGAGGAAGTGTCATCATTACGTTCCCATCCCACGCACAGCGCGTGGGCCGGAATACGCTCCTTGCCACGTGTCAGCCCCTCATTCGTTTCTTCATCGGTGTTTCTCCTATAAATGCTGGGTTTTCCCTCTGAATTAGGGTTCCCAATTTCTGCTTTCTTGCTCTCGATTTTCTGCAGCTCTTCAAGTTTCCTGAATCCAAGCTCGGCTAACTCCTTGCTAAGGTAATTTCCACCCCCTGCTTCTTTCCTTTGTCTTGAATTCTTGCCGAGATGGTTTCGATGGAGATCTCATCGAGTTCTGGTTCGGGTTCATCGGGTTCTTCTTCGGGCTCCTCCTCTGACTCCGGTTCACGCTCTTCGGGTGAGACTAGCACTTCCGGGAGTTCCGGTTCAGCCTCTACCGTGGGAACGGTCCAGGCCGGGGATGCCCAAGATGTGGTTGCTGTGGTGGTTCCTGGTGAAGAAGGTGCCGACTTGGGGGAGCAAGGGAATATGGCCCTCGATGTTGTGGACCCTGTGGCTGATGCCGGGGAACGGGAGTCCGCTGGTGAGGACGAGCGTCCAGATGGGTATGATTCTGGGGTTGAAGCCCAGGATGGCTCCGACATTGAAATATTCGAACTCGGGCTGAAGATAGATGTGGAGAGGCATCTGTGCCCGATCAAGAATGTCCTGTGCCATGAGCAGATCTTCTCGCAGGTGGCCCTCAACAAACTGAAGGTGTTCTTCCCCCCTCCGTCCGTATACAGCCTGCGTGGTGCAACCCACGTGATGAGGAGACGTCCAGGGATGGTTATGGTGCTTCTGGACTCCATCGAGGCTGGGCTGCGCTTCCCCCTTCATCCGTTCTTCGTGGAATTCTTCTGTTTTTACCAGATAGCCCCCGCACAACTCATGCCGAACTCCTATCGGTTCGTCTCCGCCTTCCTGGTCCGCTGCAAGGACAATGGGGTCGCCGCCACTCTGGACTTGTTCCATTATTTCTACCGGCTCACCCCCCAAAATTCTGACGGCTTCCTGAGCATTGCTGCTCGTCCGAAACGGAGGTTGTTCAGCGGAGCACCGAGCTCCATCCACGACTGGAAGAATCGGTTCTTCTTCGTGCGGTACGCGGATGCTCGTCTGCCGTTGCGTTGGAACGGCTATCCGCCCAAGATTGGATCTCCGGAGCTGACCAACGATCTGCAGGAGGACATCAAAAAGATCTCGACGGGCGGCATCCGCCCCTTAGACGACTTCTTAACCTTCGAGGCGCTTGCCGCGGCAGGAATAGGTACCGCCCATGCTCTTGGACATCTCCCCTTCTACGCTCGTCTCGGGGTATTGGGCGGTCCTCTCCTCCGAGGTGATTTTTTACTGACGTTCGTCCATCTAACCCACTTCCTTTGTCTTTTTCAGGTCTTCCCCCAACCCAGGAGCAGATGAATCACGAAAAGCTCCTCAAGAACCGGAAGGGGAAGGGCGCCGCGGCCGACGCTGCCCTTGCCAAGGCCAAAGCCGTCCAGGCAGCTGACTCCAATTCCTCTGCTTCCCAGGCCGACCGTCGCACCGTGGAGGCAGAGCAGCACCTCATTGCCACGGTGATGGCACAAGGGTCCCAGGTCCCGGTCCTTGACTCTGGTGTCCCCGAGGCCGTGGCGCCTCTGCAGGCCGTCCATCCCCAGGAGGGGGAGAAAGTGGACAAAAAATCCAAAAGGCCCAGGGGAACTGGTTCTTCGGCCCCTGAGGGGCAAGGGGTGATCCTCCCCTCTCCCGGACGTCCGGCGCATGACGTCTGGCAGGAGGTTGCCTCCCTGGCCGGCGTGGAGATGCCTCCCCGCACGTCTTCGGAAGCTTCCAACGCGGCCCTGGCCGCCGCTCTTCAGGTAAGATCTCGCCCCGCACGTGTTGCCTGATCACTTTTATTCTAATGCTTTTCTTTCGGAGTCTCACCCCCCGCATCTGATCTGTAGGTCGGGCTCTCCGTGCTGCAATCTGAGGCCGCCCGAGACGCCGAGGTCCTCCAGGCGAAGAACAAAGCAGATGCTGCCCTGAAGAAGGCGAGAGAGGCCGCTCGTCTTCAGGAAAAGGAGCTGGCGGCCAAAGATAAAGAACTGCAGGCCGCTCTGAAGGTAGCCCGTGAGTCCTCCGCGAAGCTCGCGGTCCTCGAGAAGGCCGGGTTCAAACTCGTCCCAGCCCTCCCCGCTCCCAAGGACGAGACCCCTGAGTGGCTCGTCGATGACACCGGATACCACAATTCTGGGGCATTCATGATCGCCGCCCAGAGGTATCTCGGCGGCGCCTTCGGCGATGTATTCGCCGCCGAGCTGCAGAAGCAGGCGCCGAAGGATCGGCTCAGGTTTGGGGTCCGGCTTCTGGAAAGTGCGCCCCTGGCAGAGAAGTTCCTGTATGACGTCGGGGATAGCTCCTTCGTCATTGGCTTCAACGAGGGGGTGAAAGCCACATTGCCGGTCTTTGCCGCTCTTCAGGGCCCCCGATTTGATCTGGCCGAGCATACCTCAGACCCAGAGCTGATCCGGGCCGTGGGCAAGCTGAGACGGGACGCCCGGCGGGAGGAGGCCAGGGCCAGGGGGGAGGTCCCAGAGCCCCCGTCCCCCGAGCCCGAACCCGAGGAGGAAGAAGAAACCATCCCTGGGGGATCCCGGCCCATTTCTCCAAATTTTGTGTAGTGTAGCTCGTAGTCTATTTGTTTTGATCCTGTACTTATCCGGCCAGTAGAGCCGAAGAATATACAACTCTTTTTTGCCTTATCATTGTCTCTACGCTCATGAACTCTTTTTATCTCCTTTCTTCGTTGGTAGTTTTTCGTTTTTCTTCGGGGATGTTCATGTCCATAACTCGGGATACGAACGTATGCCAGAGAGCGCCCCACATATATTTCATCCCCAAATCCGTTCGTCAGAAGGAAGACGTGCGAAGATGCGGCAGTATTCTTCCGAATCAGTTGGTGAAGACGCCCGCCTCTTGGCCATTTGCGTAACCGTCCGTGGGGTCGCTCACGTCCACACTCCATTCCTGTTTCTCGATCCATCGGGGTATGAGCGTATGCTTTGGGAGCATTATATATGTAAACCACTTCCCCTAGACGTACGGGTTGCGGCCGTAATTCCCCGGGCCAGAGTTGGCGAAGACGCTCATCGGATGCGCTTCCCCGAGCCCCGTCCTGATGGGGGAGATCGCCGCTTCTGGAGTGGCGTGTCACGCCCCTGACCGCAATCCAAGCGCGTGTACAACCGCCGTATAATTAAGTGACGTCACCCGCGAGTCAACCCCACTTAATTACACAAGGCGTTCGAGAAAACAATCCATCCATACTCAGTAGTAAACATACATAACAACATCACATTTAAACCAATGAATAGCGGAAATATTCAACGGTAAGTCATAAGCCACAACCGGCCAACAACATGGGCATGCAAGCCCCAAAAATAGTTTATAGTAGAACAAATATCCATGAGCAAGTGTTCGGTAGTTTGAAAGAAAATAAGGAAGCACGAACCACGTCTTCCTGATGTGATATCACCCGTGAGAAGGTGCAAGTAGCAAGCCCTAGCTTCAACCTGAAAATGGTGGGGCCCCCCGAAGGGGTCAGTACAAGTACCGAGCGAGTAGCAGGCTAAATATAGAATAACTAGCGTTTCAAGTATAAGACCCAAACATAGGGTGATACTTAAGTAAATAGTCTTTCCCCCAAGTTATGAAATACTTATTAGTATATATATACTTGGAAAATATCCGATCCGTGGATCACCATTTTATTCTGGAAAATAGTAATAGTCAATATTCTTGACTAAAAATCCCAACCCACCCATATACCTATGAGTGTATAGGACTCCTCCTTGTCCCTACTTGTATATCACAATCTATGAGTTTTAGGATCATAATCCTTGGATACTCCACCGGTTTGTGAGTGTTAAGGACTCATAAGTCCTAGGGTCCTCCACCAAGTTTTGAGTGTTAAGTACTTTTAAGTACTAGGGTCCTCCACCAAGTTTGAGTGTTAAGGACTTTTAAGTCCTAGGGTCCTCCACCAAGTTTTGAGTGTTAAGTACTTTTAAGTACTAGGGTCCTCCACCAAGTTTTGAGTGTTAAGTACTTTTTAAGTACTAGGGTCCTCCACCAAGTTTTCCTATGATCAACCTCCTATCAACCTAGATAGAGTCTATATCATCCTTAGTTACTCATAACTAATCCAATACATAAATCTTATGTATCACAATCCATGCAAAGCCATGCATTTATATAGGTTTATAATTAATTAATACCAACCGGTATTAATTAAATCCTTTGTTCTTCGGTCCACGTTTTCGTTGGCCGCCATTTCAAGCCTTGTGTGTATCAACTTAATCATCATATAATTAAGTTAATAATATTCATTTGTGCTTCTAATACACTTCAACCAAATATGCATTTCATATAATTCTTCATATCATGTTCCATGCATCAACAATTAATTTCTTTCATACAAACTTAACCCTATTGGCTAATCACATGTTTAAATATCTTTTAAACATCATTATGAAATCATATAACATTTATTTAGGTAATCTCATAATTAACCCAAAAGTTATAAGATATTAAGCCGTCCACTCACCTTGAACTAGCGTTATGAAGTTCTACCCCTCTTGGTTGAACTCCGGTGAAACTCCGGCGACTTTCGGTCAACTCCGGCGACAACTCCGGCGACTTTTCCAACTTTGTGAAATCACTTGAAATACCTTTCACAAGTTCCTAACAAGGTTTTATAATCATAAAACCCGTATTAATACAAATAACCTCAAAACGGTTATTTTCCGGTGAACCGGTCGTTTTGGCTTCTAAGTCCGTTCTTGGACATAGAATCATTTTCCAACCCATGAATCCATACTTATAACATATGGAACCATACTAAAGCTTCCTCATATGATATATAGTTCATATGGTAGAAGAAAAATAGAGAGGAAGTTATAATAAGGTCATTACCTTAATTATTTCACACTTTTAGCACTTTAGCTCCTTTTTGGGTGATTCTTCCTTGATGAGTTCTCTTCAACAATGGAGGAAGGAAGAAGAAGGGTTTTCCTTCTCTTGTTGCAGCAGCTTGGCCGAAATGGGGGGAGGGAGAGGGGTGAGGTATACCCATTTGTCTCATTGAACAAATGAGTGTGGATGGGGGCCACCTCATTTTTGTTTGATGCCATAAAGATCAAATCAAGGCCTCCTCCCATGTTTCTCTTCTCCTATCAGCCGGCCAACCCCTCCAATTTGAGTGTAAAAACGTGGGTTGGCCCCCACTCATGTGGGAGGTCAACCCTTTTTGTCCCGAAGTGTACAATCGGTCCCGAAAGTTGTATTTTTCGGACTGTTTTAAATATATTTTATTTTATCGGGTCTAATAAAATATATTACGTGTTCTCAATCGTAATGGCCTTTTGAAATAATATGTATTCCAAAACATTAATTTAGAAGCCTCCGAAATTCATTTTCGGGCTGTTACCCGTTAAATTGTCGGTACCGGTATTTGGGCTTCTTTTGCCCAATCGGCCAACACAGGGCTTTTCCACGACCCAAGTAAAATATCCACCACCATATAAATATTATCTTGACCAAGATGAATAAACTATGTGGTCTCGGGAGTGTTGGGTGGTCCCCGCTCTCGATGTGGGCCCCACGTGCAATTTACTATTCACGCGAAAGAATTAATAAAAATTTGCAACTTCGTAAATTCATTCATCCTTTAATAAGGTTCAATACATTATTTACATAAAGTAAATATATTTGGGGACGGTGTCACAAGTTCACCCCCCCTTATTTGGGATTTCGTCCCCGAAATCCAAGTATCTAATCGAAAAGAAATGGGTATTGCTCCCTCATTGAGACCTCGGTCTCCCAAGTTTCTTCTTCGACTCGATCACTCCTCCAAAGGACCTTTACCATAGGAATCTCCTTATTCCTAAGCTTCTTCACTTGTTGACCAACAATCTTCACTGGTTCCACCGCATATTGCAAGTCCTCACGGATCTCTACCGGTGGTTTCTCAAGAATATGAGATGGGTCTCGTATGTACTTCTTGAGCATTGATACATGAAACACGTCATGTATCTTCTCAAGTTCAGGCGTCAACTTGAGTCGGTAAGCCACGGCCCCGATCCTTTCAAGGATCTCAAACGGGCCTATGTATCGGGGGTTAAGCTTCCCCCTCGATACAAATCGGATGATGCCCTTCCAAGGGGAAATCCTTAGGAAGACCTCATCACCGACTTCGAACTCCAACGGCCTCCGCCGTTTATCAGCATAACTCTTCTGTCGGTCCTGAGCAGCCTTCAATCTATCCCGAATGATCCTTACCTTGGCCTTGGTGATCTCAACCAGCTCTATTCCTTCGAGTTTGGCCTCGCCAACCTCGTCCCAACACAATGGTGTCCTGCATTTCCTCCCATACAATGCCTCATATGGAGGCATGCCAATACTTGCTTGATAACTGTTGTTATAAGCAAACTCCACTAGGGCCAAATGTTTGTCCCAACTTCCTTGGAACTCCAGCGCACATGCCCTAAGCATGTCTTCCAAAATCTGTATCACCCGTTCGGACTGCCCATCCGTCTGTGGGTGAAAAGCTGTGCTAAACTTCAGTTTAGTCCCCAAAGATGCCTGAAACTTTGGCCAAAATCGGGATGTGAATCGTGGATCCCTATCCGAGACAATGGATATTGGGACTCCATGTAATCTCACAATCTCCTCCGTGTATAGCTTGGCCAATCTTTCAAGAGGATAAGTAATGTTGATAGGCAAAAAGTGTGCACTCTTGGTGAGCCTATCAACCACTACCCAAACTGCATCATAGTTGTTCACCGTTCGTGGTAGCCCCACCACGAAGTCCATGGTCACGTGCTCCCACTTCCACTCTGGGATGGTGAGTGGCTGCAAGAGCCCTGCCGGGTGCTGATGTTCTGCCTTAACTTGCTGGCAAGTAAGGCATCGACTCACATACTCGGCGATGTCTCTCTTCATACCTGACCACCAGTAACTTTCCTTCAAATCTCGGTACATCTTAGTACCTCCTGGATGCATAGCATAAGCCGAAGAATGAGCCTCCTCAAGTATAGATTTCTGGAGTTCCTCATTCCTTGGTATGCACACACGATCTTTAAACAATAAAAGACCGTCATCACGTACCCGAAAATTCTCAACGGGTCCTTCCAGGATCCTTTCACGGATCTTCTGACATTCCTCATCAATGGCCTGACTTCGACTAATCTCGCCCAATAGGGTGGGCCTAACCTAAAATCGAGCAATGAGAGCCCCACACGTGGACACCTCCACGCGTGCCCTCAATGCCTGTAGACATGTGAGTAGCGTCCCTGTCGTATTCTTCCTGCTCAGTGCGTCGGCCACGACATTGGCCTTTCCGGGATGATAGTCGATGATCAAGTCATAGTCCTTGATCAACTCCATCCATCTCCTTTGCCTCATATTCAACTCTTTCTGAGTGAATACGTACTTCAAGCTCTTATGGTCTGTAAAAATGTGACATGTCTCCCCGTAGAGATAATGCCTCCAGATTTTCAGTGCAAACACTACCGCCCCTAATTCTAGATCATGGGTAGGGTAGTTCACCTCGTGCTTCCTCAATTGCCTTGAAGCATAGGCAATCACTTTACCGTTTTGCATCAGTACACATCCAAGTCCTTGGATGCTAGCATCACTGTAGATATCATACCCTATCCCCTGTATGGGTAGGGCTAGGACTGGTGCTTCGGTAAGTCGTCTCTTCAGTTCAAGGAACCCTTTCTCACACTTGTCGTCCCATACAAACTTGGCCCCTTTCTTTGTGAGCTTCGTTAATGGGGACGCCAATACGGAGAATTTCTCAACAAATTTACGATAGTATCCCGCTAGGCCAAGGAAACTACGTATCTCTTTCACATTCTTGGGCCTCTCCCAATCCATGATAGCTTTTATCTTGGCGTTATCCACAGCTACACCCGAACCGGATATGACGTGACCAAGAAAACCAATCTCCTTGAGCCAAAATTCGCATTTAGAGAACTTGGCAAAGAGTTGCTTTTCCCTTAGCCGATCAAGTATAAGCCCCAAATGATGTTCGTGCTCCTCCTCGCTCTTGGAGTATATCAAGATATCATCAATGAATACTATTACAAATTGATCTAAGTATTCACTAAACACCCGGTTCATCAAGTCCATGAATGCCGCCGGTGCGTTGGTTAAACCAAATGACATCACAAGGAACTCGTAATGACCATACCTAGTACGGAATGCACTTTTAGGTATGTCGCTTTCCTTGATCTTCAACTGATGATACCCCGACCTCAAATCAATCTTCGAGAACACTATTGCCCCCCGAAGTTGATCAAACAAGTCATCAATCCTCGGTAAGGGATATCTGTTCTTGATTGTGACCTTGTTCAACTGTCGGTAGTCAATACACATTCTTAGTGTACCATCTTTCTTTTTTACGAAGAGTACGGGTGCTCCCCACGGTGAATGACTGGGTCTGATGAACCCGTTGTCCAGTAATTCTTGTAGTTGGACCTTCAACTCTTGGAGTTCGGCCGGCGCCATTCGATAAGGAGGAATCGAAATGGGTTTGGTTCCCGGCTCCACTTCAATTACAAACTCTATCTCTCTATCGGGTGGAAGCCCCGGTAGGTCTTTGGGAAAGACATCCGGGTACCTGCACACGACCCGTACATCTTTGATGTCGACTTCCTTCTTGGTATCGTCCACCACGTAGGCAAGGTACGCGTGGCATCCCTTCCTCATCATCTTCCGTGCTCTCATCACGGATATGATACAAGCACTAGATTTCCCCCGATCTCCCTTGAAACATAGCGTGTTTCCTTGATCATCCTCGAGCTCTAACACCTTGGTGTAGCAATCTACTCGAGCATGGTGTTTCTCGAGCCAATCCATTCCTAGGATTGCATCGAACTCCAACATGCTTAGAGGTACGAAATCACAAGTCAAAGGTTGACCCGTCACTTCTACCTCGCATGACGGATAGTAATGATTTCTCTCCACGTCGTCTCCTAACGGTGTGGAGACTAGCAATGTTTGCGTCATAGGTGTCAATGGCACGTCAAGGCCCTCGGCGAACGCCTCACTCACAAATGAGCGTTGTGCCCCGGTATCGATGAGGATCCTCGCACACCTACCATTGATCTTTAATGTTCCTACATTTATACACCATGTAAGATACATTTTCTAATGTTTTTACACATTTTTAGGAGGTTATTAGGCTCTTACTAATGTTTGGAATCAAACGGGGGTCCAAACGTAGAAGAACGGGGCGAAAAAATCAAGTTTCGGGTGCCTGGGGTCCACGCACGGCGTGCCTGGGTGGCACGCACGGTCGTGCGTGCGTGAGAAGTTCGGAATCCGCCACTGCCGGCTACGCACGATCGTGCGTAGCTGGTCACGCACGGTCGTGCGTCCCACGCACGGCGTGCCTTCCCTGCACGCACGGCGTGCGTCTGCGCGGAAAATGGCCAGAGGCTGCTGCCTCGTACGCACGGTCGTGCGTCTGTAGGTACGCGCGATCGCGCGTAGTTGTTTTTAGCCCGTTTCGCCCCGAATTCGCGGGGTTTGACCCCGGGGTGGCCCGCACCCAAACCCGATGACTCGTATGACCCAAATAAGCCTAGAAATACAGGAAAATAAGCGTATTACCTGCAACGGAGTCCGGGTTTGCTCGCGCATCCGCCTCGGTCATTGCGTACACTCGTGCTTGGGTCCCGCCTTGATTTACGGACGCGGCATGACTTGTGGATGCGTTGCCTCTTCCCGTACCGCCGTTTGACGGTCCCGCACGGTTTCTTCCCGTCATGGTTCCTCCTCCGGATCCCGAAGCTCCTCCACCCCCTAATTGTGGGCAATTGGCCTTCATGTGGCCCGTGTTCCCGCATTGATAACACCTTGGGGGTGCATTGCACTTCCCAAAGTGATTTTTCGAACAATTAGCACACCTAGGGGGTCCCGTCTTTTGGGAGGAGGATGCATGCCACCGAGCATCCTTGTTCTTCTTTGCCGGTGGTGCCGGTGTTTTGAACGAACCGCCACCTCCACCGTGCTTATCCTTCCGTGCTTGCTCGGGCGGCCCCGAACTTTGCCATTTCCTCTTTTTCGCCTCCTCGGCGTCTCTCTCTTTTCTCTCGTTCCATTGGGCCTCCCCGAGAAGGCCCTGCTCCACCACCTCGCTGAAGGTCATGTGGCGCGAGTACGTAGCTCGGTCACGGATGTCCAAGAGTAGGGCATCCCAAAAGTGCTCCGTCATGCGGTTCTCATCAACCGCGTACTCCGGCAAGAACCTAGCCAAGGTTCTAAACTCTTGTTCCAGTTGCTTAACTGTGCCGCCCTCTTTCTGTTTGAGGTTAGTGTACTCTCTCCGTTTCACATTCACCTCGTACTCGGAGTAGTATTGAGCATAGAACTCTAGCTCAAAGTCCGCCCATGTTATTTCCCCATGGTACTTCCCTTCCACGCTCTCCCACCACGTAGAAGCTATCCCTTCAAGGAGCCGTGAAGCGACAGTCAACTTCACGTCCGGTGTGATTTGCATGTCCCTTGATGCATCCTTCACCTTCTTGATCCAATCGGCGGCAACGGTAATGTCACCGGTGCCGTCAAAGGACCTACACCCCAAGGCCCTAGCCTCCTTGAGGTACTTGGAGATTCTCACGACAAAACCTCCTTCACGCCCACCTTGTGACGCCGCTGGGGTGGCCACGGAAGCTCCCCGGCTTCCTTGACCCGAACCACCGCGAGAGCCACGCCTCGCTTGGCGCCTAAGGTCCCTCCTCAATTTTTCCTTTTGATACCATTCAAGCAATTCGCCCATTTGGGCGAACTTGGCATCACTCTCTTCATCATCATCATCGGTGTACGTGTCACCCCCATCATACGGGGTCTCTTCATGCTCCGTCTCTGGCACGTAGGTTGAGTCGTAGTCTTCGGTGTTGGTCTCATACACCGAGCTCACATGGCCATCACTCATAGTTTGAGCTTGATGACCTCCACGGCTTCCACGGCCTCCACGGCCTCCTCTCGAACCCCGAGATGCAGCCCGGCTTCCCCTTTGGGATGCTACCGGCGCCTGCCCCCTCGGATTGTTCCTGGTCCTCATTCGCCTGCCCTCTATTTCTGAAAGAAAATGGATGAGTCATTAGACTCCTATAAATGTCAACTGACGGAAGGACGTTACAGACACGTATTGGCCCAAGTCACTACCATACCAATTGTTAAGGGTACCATCTTAACAATTAGAGGCCTTGCAACTTAAGCACCAATAGTCCTATAAACGTCAAAATACAATGCTCATGGTTTTCGGTAAAAACTCTTCTATAAAATCTTTTGTGAGAGGTTGATTATATAGTTTAGAACTGAGATGGCTCTGATACCACTTAATTGTCACGCCCCTGACCGCAATCCAAGCGCGTGTACAACCGCCGTATAATTAAGTGACGTCACCCGCGAGTCAACCCCACTTAATTACACAAGGCGTTCGAGAAAACAATCCATCCATACTCAGTAGTAAACATACATAACAACATCACATTTAAACCAATGAATAGCGGAAATATTCAACGGTAAGTCATAAGCCACAACCGGCCAACAACATGGGCATGCAAGCCCCAAAAATAGTTTATAGTAGAACAAATATCCATGAGCAAGTGTTCGGTAGTTTGAAAGAAAATAAGGAAGCACGAACCACGTCTTCCTGATGTGATATCACCCGTGAGAAGGTGCAAGTAGCAAGCCCTAGCTTCAACCTGAAAATGGTGGGGCCCCCCGAAGGGGTCAGTACAAGTACCGAGCGAGTAGCAGGCTAAATATAGAATAACTAGCGTTTCAAGTATAAGACCCAAACATAGGGTGATACTTAAGTAAATAGTCTTTCCCCCAAGTTATGAAATACTTATTAGTATATATATACTTGGAAAATATCCGATCCGTGGATCACCATTTTATTCTGGAAAATAGTAATAGTCAATATTCTTGACTAAAAATCCCAACCCACCCATATACCTATGAGTGTATAGGACTCCTCCTTGTCCCTACTTGTATATCACAATCTATGAGTTTTAGGATCATAATCCTTGGATACTCCACCGGTTTGTGAGTGTTAAGGACTCATAAGTCCTAGGGTCCTCCACCAAGTTTTGAGTGTTAAGTACTTTTAAGTACTAGGGTCCTCCACCAAGTTTGAGTGTTAAGGACTTTTAAGTCCTAGGGTCCTCCACCAAGTTTTGAGTGTTAAGTACTTTTAAGTACTAGGGTCCTCCACCAAGTTTTGAGTGTTAAGTACTTTTTAAGTACTAGGGTCCTCCACCAAGTTTTCCTATGATCAACCTCCTATCAACCTAGATAGAGTCTATATCATCCTTAGTTACTCATAACTAATCCAATACATAAATCTTATGTATCACAATCCATGCAAAGCCATGCATTTATATAGGTTTATAATTAATTAATACCAACCGGTATTAATTAAATCCTTTGTTCTTCGGTCCACGTTTTCGTTGGCCGCCATTTCAAGCCTTGTGTGTATCAACTTAATCATCATATAATTAAGTTAATAATATTCATTTGTGCTTCTAATACACTTCAACCAAATATGCATTTCATATAATTCTTCATATCATGTTCCATGCATCAACAATTAATTTCTTTCATACAAACTTAACCCTATTGGCTAATCACATGTTTAAATATCTTTTAAACATCATTATGAAATCATATAACATTTATTTAGGTAATCTCATAATTAACCCAAAAGTTATAAGATATTAAGCCGTCCACTCACCTTGAACTAGCGTTATGAAGTTCTACCCCTCTTGGTTGAACTCCGGTGAAACTCCGGCGACTTTCGGTCAACTCCGGCGACAACTCCGGCGACTTTTCCAACTTTGTGAAATCACTTGAAATACCTTTCACAAGTTCCTAACAAGGTTTTATAATCATAAAACCCGTATTAATACAAATAACCTCAAAACGGTTATTTTCCGGTGAACCGGTCGTTTTGGCTTCTAAGTCCGTTCTTGGACATAGAATCACTTTCCAACCCATGAATCCATACTTATAACATATGGAACCATACTAAAGCTTCCTCATATGATATATAGTTCATATGGTAGAAGAAAAATAGAGAGGAAGTTATAATAAGGTCATTACCTTAATTATTTCACACTTTTAGCACTTTAGCTCCTTTTTGGGTGATTCTTCCTTGATGAGTTCTCTTCAACAATGGAGGAAGGAAGAAGAAGGGTTTTCCTTCTCTTGTTGCAGCAGCTTGGCCGAAATGGGGGGAGGGAGAGGGGTGAGGTATACCCATTTGTCTCATTGAACAAATGAGTGTGGATGGGGGCCACCTCATTTTTGTTTGATGCCATAAAGATCAAATCAAGGCCTCCTCCCATGTTTCTCTTCTCCTATCAGCCGGCCAACCCCTCCAATTTGAGTGTAAAAACGTGGGTTGGCCCCCACTCATGTGGGAGGTCAACCCTTTTTGTCCCGAAGTGTACAATCGGTCCCGAAAGTTGTATTTTTCGGACTGTTTTAAATATATTTTATTTTATCGGGTCTAATAAAATATATTACGTGTTCTCAATCGTAATGGCCTTTTGAAATAATATGTATTCCAAAACATTAATTTAGAAGCCTCCGAAATTCATTTTCGGGCTGTTACCCGTTAAATTGTCGGTACCGGTATTTGGGCTTCTTTTGCCCAATCGGCCAACACAGGGCTTTTCCACGACCCAAGTAAAATATCCACCACCATATAAATATTATCTTGACCAAGATGAATAAACTATGTGGTCTCGGGAGTGTTGGGTGGTCCCCGCTCTCGATGTGGGCCCCACGTGCAATTTACTATTCACGCGAAAGAATTAATAAAAATTTGCAACTTCGTAAATTCATTCATCCTTTAATAAGGTTCAATACATTATTTACATAAAGTAAATATATTTGGGGACGGTGTCACATGGCGTACCCTTTTGCGCCTGTGCTTAAGCCAGGCACCCGTCTCGGACGTGCGTCTGATGTGAACATGGGACTTTCAGGCACACACGCACGTCCTCCTGTGAATTTGGCCTGCAGGTACGTTCTCTGTTTGCCCTTTCGGGGGACGTTCGTGGCATCAAGCCAGATTCCTTCGAAGTGGCTGTGAGGTGATAACATCGAGGAGCCTTTAATACCGCGGTAGGTACCGGTATCCGGATGCCACGTGTTCCACCGTGATTGGCGCAGCCTCGCGGTGCTGCCTATAAGTACCCAGGGCCTTGCGAAACCTCCATTTGCTCCATTTCTAGCTCTTGTGCTGCACAATCATCTCCTCTCTCTAGCTTTCTTTGGTACCGCTTCCGACTTCAGCACCCGTAGGTACCGAACGTCGTCATGTCTCTGTCCATACCAGGGTCCCAAACTATTGATAGGTTTGACGATGGGTGCTCCTCTGGTGATGACCTAGAGTTCTATGAGCGGGGTATGCCACCATGCCCCCCCCGTCATCACCTGAATTTCTCTTGCGTTCGTCGTCAGCGCCAGCGTCTCTTGAACGCCGACCGTCGGTTGATAAGCCAATGGTTCCTTCCCCCAAGGGGTTACGACGATCGGATTCTGCGCAACCCAATGCGCCATTTGCCCGGCTACGTGGTGGTCCACTTGGACTCTGTCATAGCCGGCCTCCTGTTTCCCCTCCACAGCTTCCACATAGAGCTTTTTAGGGGCCTCCGGGTGACACCCGCTCAGTTCGTCCCCGCTGCTTATAGGATCATCGCGGGTTTTATAATTAGATGTCACAGCGTTGACGTGACCCCCACCGTGGACCTGCTGCAACACTTCTTCCGGCTATCTCCTTTCGGACGTACGGGGTACTTAACCCTGATCGCGCGTCCGTCCATGGTCCTGTTTTCTAACAACGCCGGGAATCCGGACGGCTGGGAGGAGCGGTTCTTCCTCGCCGAAGTGGGCTCCCCGATGCCATTCTCCGATAGGTGGAACGCCTATCCGGTGAAGTCCATCCCGCCGCCCATGACGGATGAGGAGCTCGGCTATGCCAAGCGCATAGCTGGTCTTGGTGTTCAGAACCTCCGGTCGCTGGTGGCCGAGCCTTTCAAGGCCCGGGCCGGACTAGGTGCGTCTATT